TTTTTTTTAAAATATCTGAAAATGTTATCTGACATTTGACACGTGGCACAATTGTAGAGGGTGAAAATCTAATCTGAAATCTGAGATTAAATTTTTTTTAAAATATCTGAAAATGTTATCTGACATTTGACACGTGGCACAATTTTAAAAGGAATTTTCTTGGAATAATTTTTATTAAATCTAAAATACCGAAAATTAACTACGAAACTTTAAATGCCGTTTTGGAAGGCCAAACGACCTCAAAATGCCAAAATCCATCATACGTCACAGCAACGCTGTGGGTTTGACTCGTGGCGTCGTTCCCTTTCCGAAATGGTATTTTGCGTCCTAATCGGAGCTCAGACGACAAATCTGCAAATTCCTACTACATCCTTTTTCTAGCTCAACCGCGATAAAATCTGTCATTTGTTCTACATCAGACGTGGCACAATTTTAGAGGGTGAAAATCTTATCCGAAAATTTAATTACAAAAGAATATCAAAATTAATGGTTTAAACTATAAAAAAATAGAAAATAAAGTACAATGAATAGTAATTGCCTTAGACTTGCCCTAGACTTTGCCCTTGTGGGTGGAACCACAAATGCAAAGGCTGACACTATTCACGTGAATAGTGGCAGCCCTTGCTTGCCCTTGCCTTAGACTTAGCCCTTGTGGGTGGAGATGCTCTTAGGGGGTGGAATTTTGAGAATGGTGAAATTCCGGGCGGAATTCTAATATGGGTTTTGCCTGGACTAATAATTTTGTGTGGAGCACAACCCATAATACACAGCCCACGTGAAGAGGAAAATGGAGCGGGCCGCGCATGACAGAAAGCTAACTACTCTCCATTTGCTTCCGCGTGACACGTGGGAGCACATGGTGAATGAATCGTTGGAATCTAACGACCCCATTTGAAAGATTAAGTTATTTTGTTTTTTCTAATGCAACGACTATATCAGCATATCAACGGCCATGATAAGTTTAGGCAATCTCAACGGTAAAATTTCATTACAACCAGCTGAAATTTAAATCCAATGGTCAAAATAATTTTTATAATTAATCTAAATCAGATCCAACCCCAAAACTCATCCCAAACTCTATAAATAGTCATTCATTTATTAAATAATCCACCCAAAATAATTTTTTTCTTTTTTCCCTTTGTTATATTTGTTCATTCTCTTCTCTTTTCATTATTGTTGAGAATGACCCCAAAACCCTAAAGATGTGTGAATTGGAAACCACAAAAAGATGAGGCATTGTGCAAATTAGTGGGTTTCTGTCTCTAAAGATGGTGTTATTGGCACTAATGAATCAAACGACTCATTTTAGTTGCGTGTGTACCACAAGTTTTTGGAAAATGATCTGACTATGGATGGAGCCGAGATGCGAACACCCCAAAGGCCAATGCAAGGCATTTGAGTGGCTCCTATCTTGAAGATGTGGTGAGTACCCATTTTATTCAACGCTTAAATTTATAATTCTAATTCTTTTCAATTATTAACTTGCTTTTTATTTTATTTCGTGCATAGGATATGCATGCAAAAAAACTTTTCTTGATGATAATAAGCCTCCGAATAGGTCTTTCAAGTTGTATCTTGCTTGGCAAATCCTAAAAGATTGCCCAAAGTAGAACGAGCTATGTGAATCTCCCACACAAACATTCAGAGATTGTTCTCATAGTGGCAATACAATCAAGTTGGGGGAAGATGAGGATGATGTGGTCATGCCCACTCCAAGGGCACTCGAACGAGATAAATAGAAGGATGAAAAAAAAAAAAAAAAAGGGAAAGGGGTTGAAAATTATCTCAACCAAAGAAATTTTGTATAGCATTTTCACGTGAATTCATTATAAGAAGGAAAATGAGATTGAAGGAGATTGTGTATTCAATTGGGTAGAATAACACTTCTTAAATAGACAAAAGGATAAAATGAAGGTGATAGGAAATCATGATAAGATATAAAGGGATAAGTAGGAAGAGAGGAAATAATGACAACATGACAAAACGAGATGACCTATATATATGATCATAATTGAATGAAGATAGGAAAAGATTGGGAAAGTTAAGGAAATCCAATAAAGTGAGATGGATAAAGATGAGCAATAGTTCAGAACATTATTGAAACAGGACAATATGAGATTGGAAAGAGTTTAGAAAATAATTAAATGAAGATAGGAAA